GAATAAGCGCTATTACTCGAACAACTTGATTCATTAAAACTAGTTGTATAAGTGAAAAGGAAGCAAGTAGTACCATTACAACAACTTGATGCTAATGAAAGGGAATTCAAATTTGTGAGAAAATATTTACATTAAGATTAAGTTGTAAATTGTCCAACTACTCGTAATTTATTCGCTAGAGCATTTGGGTACTGTAATATATGTAAAATTGTTTATTCTATTAGTAAACACAATCATACCTATATTATAATTGCAATAAGTGAGATAAATATATTTTAATTCTAAACAATCCCTAACAATTTCGTTATATCCTAAAATAACACCTTGCATTTTATTGAGCCCATAATTTTGATTAGCCGTTTTGAGTGCTCTACAAGATTTAAAAATCTCTCATTTATATCTTGATTTGCAGAGCAATAAGGAATTTAACATTATTTTATTTTTTCCAAGCTAAATTAGTTATAATGGGGCTATAATCTAAGAAATGCCTAGGCTTATTACAAGATCAATGATTCATTAACTTTAATATTGCTAAATTCAAAATCATATCATCTATTTCAAATCTAATTTTTTAAATGTAATATTTAGGTTTAACTGAAAATAAAAATGAGTAAAAACCACAAAAAGAGGTATTAAATAGGAATCGATATATTATTAAATTTAAGATAGACATTTTATTCTTATTATCCAATTTAAAAAACTCCCTAAAACTTAAACAGTTTTTTTCAAAGAAATACTTTTTCTAATTTTTTATTTTGATCATTCAATTTTAGGAATTACCAAATAAATACCTTTCTTATTCACCAATAAATTTATTGATTTTCCTAAAGAAATAGTCATTTCATGAAAGCGTTTTTTGAAGGTGTTTCAATTTATAATCTTAAAGTTAAATAGTCAATTGATCAAAATTTTTTCAAGATTTGCTTTCTTTCTTTCAATTAAATTATTTATTTTTTAAATACAATATATCTCCATAAACATAGTTTAAACCTCAAAATTAAGCAGTAGAGATAAAAAAAGATTTTTAGTGACTCACCGATTTTCCTATTCTTTTTCTGGTAATTGCCAACAATTTGGCTAAATATCCAAAATAAAAATGGAAAACAGAGTCAAAATAAGTTATTCCAGTAATTTCTTTAGAGGCGAATTTTTTCTCTATGTATAAATTTTTTGCTCTTATACTGTTGCAAAGGATATGAATTATTCCTTATTCCTTTTTAGATTAATTATGATTTTGTAATGCTGAAAAATTTCCACTCAATCCATTTAAACTGTAAAATTTACATACCTTGCCGATCACAAAATGTATAACATCCTTTAGTAAACTTTTGCTTCCTTTAGCATTTATAGTATGAAATTTATGAGAAGTTATGAAGGAAAAATGCTTAAATAGTATAACAGGAAAAATTTCAAATTTAAATAAGTTATTGATAAATACTTATAATTATCATTTGAATCCACCTTCTGCAAAATCTCGTTAATTCGGCTAATTTAAATTCAAAGATCTATTAGTTAAATTTAAAGGAAATTGAATGACTTCTAGGCATCTTTTTCGAAAGGACCACAATCAAAGTTAAGATCTGTTATAGTAAGTAATGATTGATGTTAAAACTCCATTAAAAGTGTTATTCTGTCCAATAACGTACTTTGAAACCTCATAATAAGAAAAAAAATGTTTCCAATCTATTATATTATCTATCAACATAAGAATAAATAATTAGTATCTGGGCAATCCCCTCCTACTTTAACAAAGTAGATCAAAAGAAACTTTAAAATTGTCTTGGGTTAAAACTATACTCAAATCAAATAAAAATAATCTATCTACTACAACCGAATTTCAGTCTATCTGCCCCAAGTTGTTGTTGAACTTTAAGTTTGTTATGATTTCTGATTTATGATACAAATATTAAATGAAGGAAACTGTCATCATTAATTTAAAATCTCTACTTAAATTCTTAAGATTATTTTTTAGATTAAATTAAAATGTTTCTTTTAATTTAAATGTTTTATTTACCTCTAAGTGAGCATCCTTT